ATTGTTTTGATAGTGTATTACTGTAATAAGTTTTATTTCAGACTGATATTTTCAAAGACAATAATATAGACAATGGTGAATTGGTATCTTTAAAATGAGAATCTATTTCCAGGTAAGCAAATAAAAGGATTGTAATTTAAACATAAACTCATGGTATTGCAGTCTGTTGGTAATTTCATTGTCTCTTGGTTTATACATGTGTTATAACTAGTCTAATCCTCCCCAAACTGTCATCATAAGAGTGCCTGGAAAGTCAAAGCTGTGAAGTGCTATCTCATATATCCCAATGAAAGTTAAGTTCTTAAACATCTAGGCAGCTCGTGTGTTAACATCAGGAGTTAACCCATTGTTTCATACTTTTTTATTTGTGTGCATAGCATGAGGTAGGAGAGTGCTTTTGCATGGTAAAATTCTGGTTAGATCTCAACTGTAACTGGCAGGTGTATGATGCAAGACACATTAAGCATAAAGATTCCAGGTCTAACGATTTAACAGCCTTATGTCTCGTATTCTGCCCCTTTACACCAGATGAAACAATTAAGAAGTTTTCTTCTAAACTTCCTGTGCTCTTTTTGGGAAGCTTTTCAGTAGTTGATTTTCATATTTGATCTTAACATTGAGTGACTGTGTTCCCAACTATAACTTTTCTGTTCCAAGCTTTAGTGTGAATTTAAACTTGCTTGCTTCTTTGGCATTTAAGGAATCTTAACAGTCAGTCCATATGTAAAAATATATTGGTATATTTCGTTATTACTGCTCCTAATAACTAAATTCCTGCTTAGCTATCATCCTTCCTGCATATTGTAAGAACCTTTGAGCATAGTAGGGAAAAAAAAATCTAGTCTTTTTAAAATAAACATGCAAAATCTCCTATATACCCTGTATTTTGTTTGCTTTGGGAGAGATGTGAACACTCTGGAGGTGAAATTCAATACTCTTAGTTCAGGCCGCTTCAACTTTGAATAAATATGCACAGGATTTAGAGCAGTTGAACCAGTTTATTTTAGAGACACACCCACATGGTGCTTGATATATTCCCCCCTACCCCCTGCAAAGGTACAGCAAACCAGGGAGTGGATGTAAGCAAGAGGTGTGCTTTGCAGATGCTCTTGTGAAAATCCCAGAGTACGGTCTGCGTGTCAGGCTGAGACAGTCACACAGCTGTTGTGCTTGTGTTCCTCTCTAGCAAAAGTGTCCAAGTGCATCAGATGCAGCCTGGCTGGTGTGGTGCAGAATGGTGGGGCAGCACTCCCTCCTCCGATGGGGTGGCTGGAAGGGTGGGCACGGTGGGGGAGGCACAGTCACTGAGCACTGAGCTAAGATGCTCACTGTGCTTTTGTTTTCTTGTACGGAGTCAATGCAGAGTTAGTGTACTGTAAATCCATGACGTGACTATCTTGCCTATTTGTACAAGTCCTTAAAAATGTTTTTAATACCCAGGCAGATAATTTGGAAGGGAGAGATGATTTGTCCTAAACCCAAACTAGTACAGTAATACTAGCTGGAATAGATGTGGGCTACTTCTGCATTGATACAGCAGAGCTATATGTCTACACCTTTTTAAGCCACATGAGCATGCAAGGATTAACATCTGAAAAAGTCTTCTGGAAAGGATGCAAATGTAGCATTGGAGAAATGAAATAGTTCGTGGGCTTTTTTTCTATAAACGTGGTACAATATTGACACGTAGATAAGGTGCTTCTCCTCCTGAGATATATAGTTCATATTATTGGTCTTTAATGTACACCCTGTCAAAAATGTTCTGAAAGCATCAGAACAATTAGCTGTATTTATATAAGCAACCACACAAAGCTGCCTTTAGAATCTTCATTGAGTGAAAATGGACAGATCATACAGTAGAAGTGGCCCAAAAAGATCTATTGTGTAAAGCTCTCTTTCCCCCGTTTTCCTAACAAATACACAGAAAGCACTATACAGCATCCTTTTCTTCAGGGATGAATAAGCACAAGATTCCTGTGGTATATGCCCCATATTCTAATCCTTTGTGTACTTGGAGATTATCACATACAACCTTAAAAAAAGTTGTTCTGCTTTTTCAAAGTACAACTGTTAAAATCTTACTGTACCACATGTAAGAAAACACTGTGCACTGGATTTTGTTTCTGGCATTGTTCTTAAAGGGCATGGCATAAGCTCTGTGCTTCAGCAGTTGTTCTCAAGATGGCTGCTTTCCTAGGCAGTAGGTATGGCTTTGGTTCTGAAGCTGACTTATTCTGGAAGAAGTCCCCAAACAGGGCTTGCTTGAAGGTCAATGCACGGCACAAGCATTGGGACAGAAATATGTTGGATACTGGAGGGGAAGGCTGACTTTTCCTTTTTCATGGTAGCTAGCCACTAGATGGGCGTAATTATAATACCAAACTGCACCCAAATTTTGACACCAGCACAGGTTGAGTTTTTAACTTTGTGAGTTGACTTGTTTGACAGACAGCTATATGTGGACTTTCTGTAAGGCTCAATAGACTTCTGTAAGAGGAGTTAATTTCTTAGGTAGGTTAGGTGTTATGCAATTATGGTACTTGACATTTTTTACTTCTGTGGTAGGAACATTGGGATCTGTATGGTGTTCACGGTAAGGCATTTGAATCATTCTTGCGACTCTTGGTGGGTTTGTAATTGCTTTAGATATGCCAGGCTAAATCCTGATTCCAAGGAATTGCTAATTCTTCAATTCATTAATTTCACTTCTTTGTAGTATTCTTCCCTTACTCCAAACTACTACATTTTTACTGGCCTAATGCATGTGTTTCTTGATAGCCTTGTGCATTTCCTTATGTCTGGCACGGTTAGCTTGCTTAGTGTTCTTGCAGTCTTGCTCTGAATTTTAGTGCCATAGGGCAAGAAACACTTGTTGCTACTTAAAATATACAATAGTATCTGGTGCTCAGTGGAGCTTTATTGAATACAAGTTTTGCTTTCCTGTTGGAGCCGTGCTGTAGTTTCATACACATTGCTGTAGACTGGTGTATAAAGAGAAGGGGGATTTGTGTTTTGGTGTGGGGTTTTTTGTTGTTGTTCTTGGGTTTTTTTGTTTGGTTTTAAGCATAATCTTATTTCCTCCTTGCAAGGTTTCTCCAAGGAAATAGTCAGGTTCCTACAGACTCAGTGTAATCTCTTGGAGTTGGTAACAGTGCTGGAGGAGAGCAGCTGCTCTCCTCCAAATTTTAACGGGATCTTCCAAGCTGAAGTAATCTTTTAGGGGAGAGGGGAAATTTTGGCTGTGAGTTACAGCTGATGTTTGCCTCTTGTTTAAGGGCAGCTATGTACTGTTTTCTATGTGTAAAACAGTTTAAACCCCCACACCCCATTTGTGATGCCATGTAATGTAATTTTTTTTATTATCTTCTACTTAAATTTAATTCTAGAAAATCTGCAGGTTTAGTTTGTAAGCAAACTGACAAGTGAATGAAAAATTTTGAGCTGTTACAGCCTGATTCTCCAACCAGGTCTGTGCACATCTGCTTGTGCTTAGTCCTTTTGTGGGGAAAAACTACAGAAAAAAAAGTTCCCTTGTCTGATTTGCTGGTATATAACTGTGATTCTTGTTGCGGGGCTAAAATAACCTGAGTTCCTATCCAGGAAAAAATTATGTCTAACAATGCAGCTCTGGAAAGGTCCACCTAGTGAACTTCCAGGATCTGTGTTTTTGGTTTTGACAGTAGGGATAGCAGGTTAGGTACAACTGGACCTCTAGGTAACAAATGCAGTAACTTAGAGCTAGTCGGGAACCCATGACATTTCTAGAGAGTAGTGTATATCAGATATCGTGTCTGGATATACAAGTTGTTTCTAGCATGTTGTAAAACTTGGGAAGCTTCTAGAAGTCCTGAATCAAGTCTTACAGACCTGATATTCTGTCTTGAAGATGCGTGCCTGATAATTGCAAGAAGCAACTGATAATAAGTTAAATACATAGACATATTTTGTCTTTCAAGACTCCTCTGCATGTTTAAAAATCTGTATGGAATTGGCTACAGTCTGCCTATAGGGTAGAAATTTGTTTGGTTTTTTTTCAAACCGCTCATAAATATTTTCAGGGAAAGAAGAGGATTTGAATTTCATTCATTCAGAAGTGTATTATGATTTCTGCAAGGAGTTGCATTTTTAAAAAAAAGTTTTATGAATTTTAGAAAATTCATAGAGAACATTGGTTTGTGTATACCATCTTGTGATAAAAGCCTTCGCTTGCCAATGTAGCCTGAAAAGGATGGTACCTCTTGCTAGCCTATCTCTAATTAGCATGGAGGAGGGAAAAAAAAAGGGACCTTTTAGTAATTCAGTAATTTGGAAAATAATGAATTGAATAAGCAGTATGGAATGGAATACAGCTATTGTTTGTATACTTCAGTTTCCTATTAGAGGTCTCCAGATACTCTAATTTACTTAGAGCGGGTTCATTTGTGTGTTGTTTACCTCATGCTCAGTATGAAGGGAACATGCAGTGAAAGGTGAACTTCAGTATAATACATGATTTTTGGAATGGCATTAAAATTTTGGCTTTGTAAGGAATATGTATTAAGAACAATGATAGTAAGGAAATGTCTTTAATGTATTCCATTTAAGAGGTATGTGTTCTCCAGAGCCAGTGTATTGATTCAGCTTACGTTTTATAAAAGTATTACTCTCCTCTTTTATCTTGCATCTTTCTTGCACAGTTCTTCGTAGGAAATAGCGCTTCAGTTTTCCTTTCTATTGTGCTTGTAGTACTGTGCACCACTAATATGTAAGGGTTTTCCACATACATGACAAAGCCTTCTTTTTGGATGAAGGCAGTCTCTCCCTTCTTCCCTCTGCTAAAACGCCAAGCCTTTTATTTTTTTTTATGGCAAATTGCTTTGTTACAGAAGGACCCGGATATGCTTTAGTGGATTTGATAAACTTCAGTTTGTAAGGTCAAAAAATATATGCATTACTGTTTGGTTTACTTTACTATATTTCTCCTTATTTTGTGATCATCAGAATTTCTTTTCACCTTTCAGAAAACAGGGCAGTACTTGAAGGCTTGACAAATGCATCCCAGGTTGAAAAACTGCTGCATTCCTCCTCCTCTTCCTCCTTTAGAAAACTGACTTCTTTAAAGAGGTAAAGTTTAATGTTGCACTTCCTGTAGAAAATGTTTGGGTTTTTTTCCAGGCAAAGTGAACTATATCTCAACTTCTGTAGTGTGTCCTGTGGTGTTTTAAATTAACTTATATCCATGTCTCATTCTGATGACTGGTATCTGTTCCCCTATCTATTGAAAAGTATGTCTTTGGAAACCTTTGTCTGCAGAGATCTATTTAGTTGTGTTGTGTTATTTTATAGAATTATTTGTCAGTGCTTCTGCTGAAATAAGTCACCCAAGTGTCACTTGAATTTAAATTAATCTAATGTTATTTCTGAATATGATATCTTTTAGGATTTTTAAACATGCTTTTGAAATCTGAGGCAGTTCCTTAACCACAGGAGTTTGTATTCTCTCAATGACTTGCTGCCAGGGGCCATGCTAAATGCTATATGTAGCCCTGTTCATACAAAATTGCTAACATTAAACTTACAGCTTCCCAACACAATTTTTATATCTTATTTCATTTTCTGTTTAACAAATACAAATCTGTTCTTAAATACAAATCTTCTTTTGGAAATCAAAACAAGTATGTGCTGAGACCAGAATAGGTGATTCCAATTATCTAGTCTGGCTATTTATCATAGGACTTACATGATGTAGCTTATATATCAAACCCATAACTTTTGGTTGAGCCTAAATAATTTTCAAAACATCTGAAAGAAAATTGTACAAAGTAAATAATTCATTTCATGTTTACCTTCCTTTTTCTTACCAATTTTACAAAAATTCTGCAAATAGTAGCACTTAATATATTCTTGACATTGCTTGTATGAAGTTGATGAACATAAGTGTTTTGGGGATTAAACATGATTGTAGCTGTTATCATCTGTTTGTGAAAATGTTTCTCTTTTTTTCCCCATCCCAGGCTAAAAGAACTTCAGAAAAAGTTGACTGTAATGAAGGAAAAATACTAACTAAAAAAAGGGGGGGGGGCTTTGAAGCTGATGGGTATTTGTAGTTTTCAGGGAAAACGTGGTAAAGATAATACGACAGCATGTGACAGCTTTGTTGCATATAATTGTTATACAGCAATATCAACTTCTTTAAAAAAAAAAAGTGTGACCAAAATATCTTTTAAAATACAGTGTCACTTCACAGATTTTCTGTTTCTTGTTTCTGTTCAGGCAACTGTTAACCTGCAGGCCCTGTCAAAAATAAACTTTTATGAAACCTTAACTAAGAATCACTGTCTTCATATGTCTAGTATGGCTTCAGACAGCTCTTATATTTTACTGTCTCCTCAATTTATGCCTTTTCAGGTCACTATTAGGCTTTAGTCTCTAGTATTAGGCTACAGCTTCATTTCACTTCATCAGATTAAAATTTTTGGACTTTAATGACTTCCAGGTATTGCCAACCTGTGCTGAGGTCACACAGAAAGACAAAATGACCCTTGTTGCTTAGAATCTATTTAAACATCAAGCAAAGGTATCTAATGACGCCTTGTGTTTTAAACATTCGTGCTATTGCCTTGAGAATTAAATTTATAAGAATTCGAAAGATGATCTATATAAAATGGAAAACAGTAACAACCATTGTCCCTGCAAATTTTTTTTTTGTTTCTGAGAATTCCAGCATACTTTTAGAAGAGCTAAATCTTGCAGTTTGAATGACAAGCCTCAAAATTCTTTTAAGAACAAACTTTAAGAAGTAAATTTCTGCTATTAGGATTTCTAACAACTGGTTTTATGAAACTGATTTACTTCAAGCTGTATCTAGAACTGTCATTACAAGGTCTCACGTGATTTGTTCCATGATGCTCTTTACTTTGCTCCACTTGTCTTTTCTTTGTACTATATTTGGTAAGGGAGCAAGAATGGGATGATGTGTCTGTCTTAAATAATGTATGTTTTGGCCTGAAGCACTGAATCCTTTTTCCTCCTCCCTCATTAATGTGCTGTACTTTTGACTAAAAGTTTAGTCATCGTTAGAAAATGGGACCAGTTTTCTGAAATGCAGCTTTTCTTATTGTTTGATATTATATAATTCTATTGGGAATTTGTTAACAGCTTTTAATTGGGGTAGGATTTTACAAAACTAAGTTTTGCTGCCAGAATTCTTTTTTAATTTCGTTTTTCTTTTCTAAAGGTAAGAGAGAAGCAAAAGTACTAAGAAAATGCTGGGATCAGAACGAGGTGTCGTGGAAGAATGGTTGTCAGAATTCAAGGTGAGCTGAGAAGATGAATGGTAGCTATACCATTGGCTTTCTGCCACAGAACATTTTTTTTTTATATCCAATAATTAACATTTTAAATACCTATTTAGTCTTTCAACATCTTATAATGCATAAAGCATGCAAAGGTCTATGTAAATGTGTCAGCTGGTACATAATATGCAATGCATAGTTCTAGTAATTTATTTTTATGGTTTATTATTGTAGAGCAAAACACTTCTATAGCAGTGTGGTTTTTTAAAGCATATATTTCTATGTAGATCAAGCTGATAGAATTTAACTAACAGGTAGATAGTGCTGACCAAATTTCTAATTCAGCAACTTGTCTACTAATTTTTATAAAATAAAAATTTTGGAGTTTAAAAAAATATTAAAGAAAAATATTTGGCTGTTTTTTTTTTCCTATGGTCTGCATACAATGAATTGTTTTGTCATGAAGAATCTGAAGTATTTTTAAGCTATTCTGCGTATTGACAATTATGCTGAATGAAGTACAAGATAATGCACAAATAAGAAAACTGGATTTCAGGACTGATATGAAATTAATTAGTTACTTAAATTAAGAATTAGTAATTCCTCACATCACTGATACATTTATACACAATAAGTCATTACATGCTGGTTTTGGAAATTTGTTGAGGAGCGAAGCATGCAAAATCCACAGCCATGGTTGCTTCATGGGACTTGACACTGTCCATGTTCATTCTAGATTATCCACACCTCTTAAAAATTCAGGTAGATTTGATAGACTTTTAAAAGTACCTGTTAAATATAGTATATCAAGAAAGAGAGTCCTCATATCAAGCTGGAAAAAACTTTTTTTTGAAAGATAAATCTGAAACTGCTTTTGGATTTAACCCTGGAAGTTGGTATGTGCCCCCAAATGCTCTTCATTCAGGAGAACAACTGATACTGAATGGACTACGTTACAAGTCTGAAAATTTACTGAACTTTGGGAATTTCTCTTGATGTTGGGATGAGACTGAATCCTTTTGTAGAGATCTTTAATGCTTGGAAGCATTGATTTATCAGGGTAACACTTTTTTTTTTTTTTTTTTTTTTTTTAGGCATTACCTGAAACACAAATATCCAGCTATGCAGCTACATTGCACCGAAAAAAACCACTGGTACCAGCTCTTTATAAGGTCATTCAAGACCCAAATAATGAGGTAGGAGACTTTAAAGAAGATTTTTTCACATTCTTTTGTCTTCCACCTCTACAACTAAAACTAGAGTAATTGAGAAGTGGAGGTAGAAGGGAAGATTGTTCGATTCTCCTTTCTAATGTAGTCTAACATGGGTGTCATCCCTCTTTTTACTCTCTTGTTTTTTGACAGTTACTTTAATGCCTTTCTGGTAAGACATAACCTCATCTGCTCCCAAAAATACAGTTTATACTGTCTGCTAGATTTTACTTGCCACAGCTGACTGTTACGCTTGATTTGGCATTTAGGTCCCCCCCCGCCCCTGAAACCACCTTTCAGTCGTAACAGAGACAAAGTAGGCCTTACAGTGAAGCTCAGTAAGACCAGTGTGCTTCTCACCTGGTGGCTTATTACAGTGGAAGATGGAATCAGTTTATTAAATCCTATTACAGTAACCGGATCTTCTTTTGCTTATAGTAGTATCACATTTGTGTAATTTGGTTTACACTGCTGTAAACAAGAGCAGAACCAGACCCCCAAAATATAAATATACACAATGAAAACTTAGCTTACCCTTGTATATAATTCATTTTGCAAATGACATTAAACTGAGCATTCTATTCCACTGGCTTCTGCTATGAGCATTTCTGGGAAAGTGTGTGAAATATACCTTCCGAATAAGTTATGCAAGAATACTGTTCTCTGCTGTGTAAGCTACTCTAGATAAAATGCTTCAAAATATTTGATTTATCATGTGATCTCTTGTGTATTTAAAAATTAAATAGCAAGTGTACACAGCAAGGAAGTTCTTTATTTTCCTAAGCACAGCTCAGCTGCTTTTGGAAGCTGAATGCTTGATTGAGCTTAAAGGAGATTGCATAATGCTCATGCAATAAAAAAAAAAAACCAAACAAAACTGCTTAGTAGTTGTCAACTTCATTTCAGCGTTACAAACTTGCATAGTGACCTTTTTCTTTGTACTGAAGCTACTGTTACTCTCTCCAACCTCAAGCTACCATAGCTGCTGTTGTCTTTTAGTATATATGTATTTCTTTGTATGTATACTTCTGAAAATGTAAAAGCTTTCCTTTGCTTTGAGAATAAACGTTCGATTTTTTTTTTTTAATGATGCAGTGAACCAGATTTGCAAAAAGAGTATCTTCTTAAGGGTGTGACAGTAATCTTATGTTATTGCACACTGATGCTTGGCAAATATTATTCTTTGGAACTGCTGTTGCTGTTTGGGCCTGATTCTGATGTCAGGTATAAGATAAGCGATCCCAGACTCAAAGATGACTAACTTCAGGTTCTGCTAGTTAAGGAATCATGTTTTTTTCTTGTTGTATTTCTTCCAAACTTGTATGCGTGTGAGGAGTATTAACCATAGTAAATTCATTACTTTGCATAATTCTGAGGTAATCTTTAGCTCTAAGTGAGGGAGTTTTAAAATATGCTTTATAGGGCATTATTTGTTAGAAGGATGACTGATTGCTTGTGAAGATAAAGTTTATGTGGTAGACTATTAAAAAAAATGAAGTTGCTGAGTCCTTAAGCTTGATGGACAAGTAATTTTTTAGTACAACTTAATCATAAAGTTGACCTATTTTTAAAATTTCCTGAAAGGTGCGAACAGTTTAGAGTAAACGTGAGTTTTTGTAGAATAACATAATTATATTATTTTTATAAGACTAGAATTATCAATTTAACATGGAATCAGCATGTTTAGGAACCAAAACAAACCACCAAGGTATTTATCTTTTCTGACAGCTGGCTACCAATTTGAGATCTACCAAATGAAGGCAATCATACTGTCAAGTTAAATACAAATGTTACTGTTTACCTTTTAGGAAATTCCCTGGCTTTTTTTAATATGGAGAAGATAATGACTGGAATGGAAAGTTACATAAAGAGTAGAGAGTGATCTTGCTCATAAACAGCTTATTTAACTGAATCATGTATTGATTTTTATTGATTTTTGCATAATATTTGGGTTCTAAAGTAAAGTGCTTTTGAAGTACTGGGGTTTTAGATAGTTTTATAATTTTTGGAATTGGTTTATAGTTGTAGGCATAAATACTCCATGGATTTTAAGTTAATGCAGTACTGAAATCTAAACATTGAATGTTCATGTGGGGCTGTTTAGGTTTAACTTGGAAAGCTTAGCCTTGAAACAAAATGACATCACCTTTGCAAGCACCAAGCACTTCCCAGAGCCAGTAATCTTCAGAAAGTAACTAATTTCACCCATTATGTTATAGCTAAGCCTAAAATGAGCACATTATTTTCAACCACGATTGAATTCTTCAAAAAGGCAAGCATTTCCAATCTTTGTCATGCATTTTATAATACATTATATTTAACTTCAATGTATGGCTTTTAAGATTTGGCAAACTTGTAAAATAAGCCAAACTAAAGCTATTCATCAGCTTCCTTAAAACATGACTAGTCTGCATCTCTGTGAGGTGTAAAAACGAAGTCTGCAAATTATATCATTGTCACTTAGTGTATTTGAGAAAAAAAATTAATTTGTAATTGTTATGCTAATCGCTGTTTATGCTAATAGGAAATGTAAATTTTTAGTTTGTCAGAAAAGAGGCAGTTATAAGAGACTATTTACTTTGAATTTGTTGGCTGACTGCTGTGCTACTCAGTTTCCTTTGACTTTGGACTGAAAGATCTTTGGAATTACAAAAGTGTGTGCCACTTAATTTATACACCTACTACCGGTGACAAAAGCTTCATTTCCTCTGTTTATCCAGTGTCTTCTCAATATTTATATTCAGAGAATTAATTGGAAGAGGCTGGTTCTCTGAAAAGCCAGATAACTAGGATGCAAGGAAAACATTAGTTCTTTCTCAGTGTCATGTTTTGTCTTTCCAGCTGGGAGATGATCATACTATGCTTTGATAGGGAAAAGTTGGGTGTTTGTATCTTTGAAAATTTTTGTGTTGTAGCATCTTTGTGATGGCAGCTTTTTCTTGTGGACTTAAAGCTCTGAACACACCAAAAGTGCTATAGGAGTTGCTACAAACAACTTTCAGGTTTTCACCTAGGTAATTTGCAGTTGGTAAACCTTTTGCACAACTAATATGACAACTACTAGAAATGAGGGTTATTGGCATGGATTGTAGCACCAGTGACTGGATATTGCTTGTATCTTTCTAGGGAGCATGGTTTCACTTAAAAGACTAATTTTATAGAATTTTTATTTGAAAGAAAGTAGACTAAACTCAGTAACTGCTGTGGTTTAGTCTCATCTGAGTTTAGCTGAAGTAAATTTTTCTTTTCCACTGTTTTTAATGGATTAGACTGGCTAATTTCAAATAGGAAACAGCTTTGGGCTGCTGTCATCTCTAATCTAACAGAAGCCCTATTTATAGCAATGCTGCTGTATATATCTGGTTTCTGATAATATTTGTTTAGCTTTTCTTGCACCTGTTATCTCCTTGCAGATATGCTTGTATTTATTGTTTCCAGAGATTTCTTCTTTTTCTTCTTTACGTTAGCTTCTTGCTCATATTTTCTTTTAAAGAAAACCCACAAATTTATTCAGTGATCTCTGAATTATTTATTAACCTTTTATTTGAACATCTGAAATGTGCTAGACCTTTCATAAAACAAGGATACAGTTCTGTCTCTGAGGATTTGGACATTTACTGTAACGGATGGTTTTAATAATTAGTGTCACTTAGATAGGAGTTTCTACTAAGTAAATATTAATTAAGAAAGAATATGCTTATGAATCTTTTGAACATAAAGTGCTACATATGTATGAAATACTAGGACAAATATACTAGATAAAATAATACATGCTCAACTTCATAGAGAAAGCCCTAGCATTGTTTTTTTTTAAATTATTGCAATAGAAGATTTACAGTCTTCTAAATTCATTTAGATTCCAAACCAAAAATATTAAGTCTTTTTTATTTTTAGAATTTGAAAAAAAAAAAAAAAAAAAAAAAAAAAAAAAAAAGAAAAAATCTGTGTGCTCCAAATTACTGGACTTTTCTCATTGTGTATCAACATTGTCAGTGTCAGCTTTCTTCCCTCCTTCTCTTATGGAGTCTGTCTTTGCTTCTGTTGTAAAAATGAGCTTTTAGCTTAGAGTAACTAGGCTGTAAATCAAAAGCCTTGTTACACAAGGTACTTATACCAGAGCCTTGTATAAGAAGAGATTTGTCCAACAGTGAAGTTTTATTTTACATAGTGTCATGTTATGGCTTACGTAATCAGTGGTTTAAAAATGGTATGCTTCATTGACCAGAATACTGTGTGTTAGAAATAAAACTAATGTGCTCACCCTTTCTTGGGTGATGCTTTCTTAAGGCAGCTATCTTGATAGAAAATTCTGTCAAATTTATTTTTTGTGTTTGTGGTATACTAGAGTAAAATACCTAAATATGTGTATTTGGAGTTGTACAGTCATACAGATTTGTGGCACTGCACATTTATCAAACATTCAGCTAATCACTTGCAGAAACGTCTGTCTCTCTGCTGATAGCAAGGGACTTCTAAGTTTTTTAAGAGGATAGATGGTTCGCAACAAACTACAGAAGTACATCTTCATACAGCATAGCAAAAGAGCAACAGTGAAGTCTACAGGAAATTCTGGGTACTAAGATTTTGATGACTAGACAAATTAATGAAAGAAGAATACATCAAAGTCTATGAAACATACTGCTAGTGCTCTGAAAGTCCTAAGGTGCATATCCCTGGGAGTGAGAGTGGTATGCTGGAAAAGGAGTCATATATACCTTCTCTGATCTTCTGCTCTGCACTGGGTATTTCCTATTTTTGCCTTTTTGTCTCACGAGTACAGCTGTTATTGTGTTAGTCAAATGTAGGGGTTTTATTGCTCTAAAAAATTGTATGTATGATTTAATGTTTAATATTATCATGTATGTATATGAGAGCTGTATAAAGCATGTATGGCTTGGATACCTCTGTCTTTTTGGATGTTGAATCTCACGAGTATTTTCCTTAGGTCAGATCATCCCATTTCTTAGAATGTAATTTTTTTTTTTATTTTTTATTTTTTTTTTTTTTTGGTTTTTTTTTTTTTTTTTTTAGTTTTTGACTTTGGTATTGAAAACTGGATTAGTTATGGGAGAGGGGGAGACAGTTTGATGTGATTCTTTTTCTTTTCCCTGTTCATTAACAGTTCTGTGGATGCATCTGAACTATTGGTTTAGCATAGTAGACTCTTAAAATGGCAGGGTTTTTCTAGTGCTTGTATCACACTGACTTGATAAAGGCCTTTTTTGATTCTTGTACTGAAACCTGAAGGGCAGTTCAAGATGAAAAAAATCAGTTTGCATTGTGATAAACAAATACACACGTGTTGGGTTTGAGGCTAAAAAGCTGTAGGTAAGAAATTAATTCGTATTTCTGTCAACAGACTTGTCATTAACAGCTAATCTTTAACCCTTGTACTCTTATAAATCTTACAACTGCACCATTGAAGTCTTACAATGCACATAGTTCAAGCCATGTGTCTGTCACGTGCCTTCAGTTAGTACTTGTATGCAGAATAATCTTATACTGACAGCCCTAGAGAATAATGCTTTCAAAACACAAGATGATAGTGGCTGTAGTAGGGCCGCATTTCCCAATACTGCATACCAGTGCCTCTAAGGTATATCCTTATAGATCTCCTTAAAAGGAATGCAGATACCATTTTAGTTCATTCACTTACTGGCCATCAAGGAATGTCATTTTTACTGGCTGCAGTGACTATATGATACAGCCCCTGTATTTGCTATTTCATTCTCCCTTAATAGAGAAGCCTAACTAATTCATTAGCCTTTTTGCCTTTCCACAGCTCCTGGAGCCTGTTTGCCACCAGCTCTTTGAACTTTATCGTAGTTCCGAAGTTCGGCTCAAGAGATTCACGCTGCAGTTTTTGCCAGAGTTGATCTGGGTATATCTGCGTCTTACTGCCAGCAGGGATAGGCAGAGTAATGGTTGCATTGAAGCATTGCTGCTTGGCATTTACAACTTGGTAAGTGAGATGAGTGGGAATGGCTGAGGAAAGCTTTGATCTGAGGTTTTGCGTCAGTGACCACTAGGAATGAAGTAAATTATTGGAACAACATATTTAAAATTGTAATACGCTTACATGAAAGGGTATTTCATCTGGAGAAAAGCATAATGTAATGAATAATGAAGGCTTAGTAAGAACGTATTAGCAAAAATATTTTTTTATAGCAAACTTTTTATGGTAATCTTTAAAAAGGATCATATCATGGGCTTTCTTGAACTGTTACATATTTGTGTTTGTAAGGAAATGAAGTAGCCCGACTTAATGTTGAAAAATACAAGTTTCTGTGGAGATGACTGTCAGGCCAATGTGCTTGCTCAGTCTTCATGTATCACTTCCTCCTGCTTACTCTGAATACGTTTTATTAAGGGTAATTTGAAGCTGAAACCACTTGTCATGCTACCACTTAGATACATGCATGTGTACGTTTGAGGCAGATAGCTGTCTTGAGTGGAACTGTGATTTAAAGAATAAAGGTGACTGTAGAAGACTAGGTTCTGCTGTTGGATGTAAAAGTAGGGGTTTTTTATATCCTTACCTTAGCCTGGAAGTGTTTATTCTTGTAATGTTTTGAGGCTGTTTCATAAATTTAGCAATACTGCCAAGACAGGCATTCTCAAATGGTAATTTCTGTGTTAGAGAGCTTTAAAACATTCTAATGAAACATTGCCCTTCTCTCTACTAAAATAGTAAACCCCTCCTGTAAATTGTGTATTATGTCCCTACACATGACGAGACATAGAACAGTCAAATTGTGATTCTTAAGAAAAAAGTAATCTTGTTATGTGTCTGTGATCAGCTCTAGCAACTGGAAGATCCATTTATTTTACATTTATTTTGATAGAAGAAACATTAGAAACTGCTTGCTGATTTTTGGTACTGTTTGCTGGGTTGAAGTAGCATGTTTAACTTAGACTGTTTTCTCATAAAGGTCCTTTTGCAGTTCCTTTGAAAGTCGTGTTGGTGATTCATATTTTTTTAAGGACAGTAATTTCTTCATTCTGTCCAGATTCAGGAAGAAAGAGGCCTCAAAATGGACAGTGGCTCCCACTATTTTTTTTCCTTGGTGAAGTTGTTGATAATTTCCTGCACATATACTTAAATGGAAGGAGTGAAATTATTTTCTCAATTCTTAGGAAGTGAAAGACAAGGATAAATTTTTTTTGCATTCTGCTAAATTCTATCAACTGTACTCCCATTGTGATCCTTAAAATCTACTACAAGTACTGTGCTACCTTGGATTAAGTTTTCACATAAATTGGAATGACTAGAGCTCATTGTTTGGAAATTTGCTGTACAAAGTGAAAATGCAGGATTTTAGACTCCTTTTTGGTATAGTCTTATGTAATTGCTCTTAGTATATTTGCTTTAAAAACTGCTGGGTTTGCTTATGTAGTAGCCTAGCAACTATAAAATCTGACCAGTTTGAAAGCCTTTTGGGAAAATATTCTGTGTATTTCTTACTGATAGAATGCCCGAAGAAACTTTGCCAGTCCCCTTGATTTCACCTTTTCTCTGTGGTGCATTTATTATGAATTACTGCCCATTGTCAGCAAATGACTCATCAGCCCTCATGTATCTATCTTTTGGGCTTAAAGTTTAGCCTTGCTCCACTATGCAGTTCTATTATTAATAAATGTTATAATGTAAAGGTGGGCTAGAAAAGCTTTTTGTTCTCTTTTGGTTTTGATGAAGTCACACTGATCAGGGAGCCAATGCTGGTTTTTTTAAGTGTTGCAGACTGATTCTGCAAAACAGTCTGTCACAGAGTTCTTTCTGCTTCTTAAATATGTGTGTAAATTTGCTGATATTCTGCAAATGCTCAGAGACCTTAGGGTGTTAATAGTCTTATCAGATCATGACATCTAACTTCTTACTTGTTAAATGCCTTCTAAGATTTGAAAATTATTCTCAGTCCTATCTCCTTACTTCTGTTTGGGTTTTGGTTTTGTTTTTTAATGCAGGAAATTGCTGACAAAGATGGAAACAACAAAGTTTTATCTTTCACCATCCCTTCATTATCTAAACCCTCAATATATCATGAGGTAAGAGAGCTGCTGTGGTAAATTAGAATTGGATCTATTAGAGGAATGAAAACTGGATCCATTTGATGCAACAAGCCATTTTAGATGAATCTTATAGCAGTAAGTTTTCAATGTCAGTAGCTTGCAATTAGTGTAATTGAATTCAATAGCATCAGTAGAAGAAATGAAATGTAAATATTGAAAAATCTTTGCTGACAGTGACCATTTTGAACAGAGGTTAGCTATGTTGTAGCTGCAACTGTGTTTTTTTGCCTCTTATGCATTAGTATAAAAGTAGTCTTCCTTCTTCCAACTTCTCCTTAATACAGTTTGAACTTGGAATCATGTTTTGCTTTCTCTACTCTTACTGTACAAAAGGTCTGTGCAATTAGGATAAACTTACTATAAATGGATATGTAAAAATCAAAGTTGAAAATTCCTCTTACCTGCTCTATTGTTTGTAAGCGTGGAAATGTTTATAATAATGAATTTAGGTAATGTTTTTAGATGTACTGTGTTCATTTTTACAGACTGCAAGGCAAGTGTGCCTTTTGGCTTGGATGGTTAGGAGTTTTAATGCTTTTGGGGACCTTTTACTTACGGGTTGATTTCTCCCCCCTTCCTCCTCCCGCTACCTACTTCTAGCCCTCTACTATTGGATCTATGGCTTTAACTGAAGGAGCTCTGTGTCAGCATGATCTCATCAGGGTAGTTTACAGCGATCTTCATCCTCAAAGAGAAACCTTCACAGCACAGAACCGGTAGGTGGATGTATTCTAACATTAGAGCTTCTTCACTACACAGACAAGTAGTCCTTAAACATTCAGACTAAATAATTATGTGTTCAGTCCTTTCTCAACATCAAGTGCTTGGAAATAAATCTAGAGAATAGTTCTGGGTAATGTTGAGATATAGTATTTTTCTTGTTTGTTCTTCTACTAATTAATTTAGAAGAAAGTAACTTCTCTGTCATTTCTGTGTCCATCAGGAGTATCTTTAGGTTTATATTTGTCAACTCAAATTTCCCTGGAAGTGTAACAAAATTCAGCTTTGGCTCTGAGGCTTTGACTGCTTTTTCCATAGGAAAGGAGGAATGGAGCTGAGTGGATAGACAGAACTAGGGATGAAAGAAATTGCCCTGCTGTTAATAGTGACTGCCAGCTTTACCTGTGTCTAAAGCCAGCTCTGGGAAAACTGATAAAATAATTTTGAATTCATTGCAGACTTTTCCAGTTCTGTAACTTTTCCCAAAATTTATGCCATTTCCTCCATAGTTCGTGCATATGCTAATGGTTTTCAGTAATAATAATTTTAAGTGTTTAATACTGAACCTTCAGTAGCCTGTTTCAAGTTAATGAATTCTGGTGAACGAGGATTTTCGGATTTGTGTGTTTACTTCTGACGCTTTTTCCTGTGGGGTATTTTTTGAGACTGAGTTGTAGAATTCTTGGTTAAATTCTAATGAAATATTAAGAATTTATACCATGCAAGGTTTTGCTCTTGTCTCTTTTCAGGTTTGAGGTGCTGAGCTTTCTTATGCTGTGCTACAATTCTGCTATTGTCTATATGCCTGACTCTTCTTACCAATCACTTTGTAGGATGGGTTCCAGGTGAGACACTTGCCTTTGAAATAGTCTTGCAGGGTGCATTTAGACTTCTGAATATTCATCCAGCAAAAAAAGAATTAATTTACTTGTTGAATTTAATAACTTATAATATGTAACTCCTGGTCAGACCTGCAACTTACTTGGAAATTTGAAGCTGTGCTTGCATACAGATGAAACACGTGGATTATCTTACTACTGCATGGGCTTTCGTTCTAGTTATGTAACTTTCTGTTATTTGGAAATAAAAAAAGCAATTTTGGGGGAAAATTAGTTGAAGCTACTCAGACTGATTTGCATTTTTTTGGATTTACATATTTTTCAGAAATTTTTTAGTATGGTCAGCTTAAAAATCCTGTGAGGAATATCACCAGTTTCCTCTACTTCCAAATATTAATGTCTTGCTTCTGCAGATGGTTTATATGAAGTGCTTGCACAATGTTCTAGGTTTTAGTGATTTGTTTGGATTTTTCTTTGATTTGGTGATGATTGTTGGTTTGGGTTTTTTCCTTCCTTTATTTTTTCCCCCTGATAATAACATCCCACTTTCTGGAGAATTCACTACTTTGATTTCTCAAACTCTTATACATGCCTTATATAACCTCCTACTTGAATAATCTTAGAAGCATCTGGAGAATTCACTACTTTGATTTCTCAAACTCTTATACGTGCCCTTTATATAACCTCCTACTTGAATAGTCCTAGAAGCATCTGGTTGGCAAAGATCCTTGCTTTATGTTCTGAAAAATCTCAAGTAGATCTGATATTCCCATATGCCTGGTTTTACCAGCATTTTTGTCTAAAATGAGATAAATTCTCTATCCTGTTAGCCCAAACAAAGGAACCTCTTTAAATGTTTTTGATTTAGTCTGTTTGCTTCAGCGCAATACTGCCATGAAAGAAAAGCATTACATGTAATTCAGTTATGTAGCAAAGAAGGATCAGACTAGCTTCCAACAACATATATTCTGTAGTTACACACACATGCAGTTAAGATTATAGCCTGTTCTCTTTCCCGTGATTTCTGATGGGAATGGGTTAATTCTTTGTATACTTCCATCACCTTCACTTGAGTTGTGGCTATACTAAATTTGCCAAATATGTTGAATTTTTCTGCATTTGAAATTAGATCCATTCTTTGGGTAGAGAAGAGAGACAACATTTTATAGGTTAGGGAATTTTTTTTGTTGTTTTTGAAACAGTGCAGCAGTTATTTATAAGTGGCCATGTGTTGTTTCCATGATGAAGATTCAGATATTAAAGTTATGAATAAATTACTCCTTTAGTTTTGGAGACTCAATGCTATGCAGTATATGGGAAGGCAGGCCCTTTTTCAAGATTTAGAAGTATTTATTTAGAAGGCAGCTGAGAGCAATTCTCAAAAATAGAGTATCTGTGTTATCCAACTTTAGGTAAAAGGTGATTGTATGCTGTCATCACACTTTAGATGGGAGAGGACATATTTCTCTTCTGTACCACTGAAATGTTTCCTTTAAAGACAGTTTTGTTTACTGAATTTTGGGGAGAGTGACCTACTTGGTGGTGGCAGTAGGGAAAATTTTGCCTCCCTCTTTCTTTAGAAGCTGGTTATGATTTAAAGAAAACGGATGGAGGTAATGGCTATATGGGAATAACACTGAATTATCAGCAAGCCACATCTCAAGGCACTGTTATAAAACTGCTTTAATTGTTGGGAAAACAACATAAAAATGTTCTACGTTGTGTACTTATATTATGAAAAATAAATTTTGAAATTGAACTAAAATCTCTGTGTTATAAAAACATTTGTAGTCTTTGTGAGGTTAAACATTTTGTTACAATGGTGTGTTTTTTCAGGCTGTGTGTGAGTGGTTTTCCACGGCAGCATGAGAAACGCTGGAAAGAACACTGTGGTAGAGTGGTGTTAGACCCTGACTTCATGGTGCAGCTGCTCACAGGTGTCTATTACGCCATGTAAGTGGATGGGTTTTTTGTGTAAAGATAAATGTCTGGTTTTAGGTTAATTAAAATATAAATGCTAGTTGTTTTACGATTGAAAAAAAAGAGTTAAACTCATTACACAAGTTTGTAACTCGATTAGTGTATTTCCTGTTGCTTGCTCACTCAGCCATAATAATTTGAAAATGTCTTTGTCAGCATTGAATTAGGTGATGAAGGGCCAGCAGTAGGTGCTGAAGAGAGGTAGGCTTCTGCCTTCAACCTTTCTCAAGTTTCTACTACCACCAGATACCTTCTGTTCACAAGCATATAATGTGCTAGGATGCCAAGATAACCTGATGAAATGCAGACTTCTTGAATGTCAGTAGCTTCTGAGGTAGCAAAAATCAATTTCTGATGGAAATTCAGTTCTGCTAAGTAGAGTTAATTGTTACATCTTGACCCCGTTTTTTTAATTGTTTAAGTTTGTCCTGATTGTAGCATCAACTTTGCCTTGCTTGGAGGTGACAGGGAGCAGCTTTTTTGTTATACCAACAAGATTAATAATAAAATGCTTTGTCTATACTTTTAAAAGAAGTGAAGAGGCTGGGTTGTACATACAGTTGATGAACTTTCTATGCAAGCAAAGAAGTGAAGAGCTGGATTTGGGCAGAAAAAACACAAGACTGAGTTCGTAAGATATGAAAGATAAATATCTATCTTTACTTTTTAGATACAATGGTCAGTGGGATCTTGGCCAGGAGGTATTGGAGGACATAATTTACAGAGCACAGCTTGAACTCTACTCACAGCCTCTGCTGGTAAGAAACAATCCATTGCAATTTATGGACTTGGTTGAGGAGTATGGATGTGTTTCTGAAGTGCACTGGCAATGAAAGCATACGTGGCCGCTTACTGCACTCCCAAATGCAAGTAGTTGTTAACAGCTGGTGTGTTCAATATAGCTATTTACACCATGCTTCTTCTGCTTGAGTATTAAGCTAGGGTGTTGGGATCTCCTCAGACTCATTGATGCTGAAAGCTAGGATTTTCTAATGTATTACAGTTGGATCAAAATGTTTATGTTGTTTTGGCATAAACTACCAATGAGTGATTCAAAGAAGCTTTACCAAATGGTTATATGTCATAAAACACTTGTTGCAAAAAAGGTGTTTTCTTTGCTTCTAGTCCTTCAATGGGTCTTAGAATATGCTGTGTGGTTTAAATGATAACACAGTAGAAAAAGCAACAACAGGACAGAGCTGAATGTGAAAAAGAGCTTAATCTCCAGAGTCAATGTCAGATTTTGATTGCTCAAAGTCATGCAGGTCTTAATCTTTACCTTCTTTAGAGGGGCAGCAATAGAATGGAGTTCTGATTGTTTGGCTTTTTCAGTTTCCACTATACGTACTGTTCTGATCATAAAAGGAGAGAAATTAAATGGGGAAAGTGGTGAAACTGGGCTGGATGCATGTGGATGCGATTGGGAAGAATGAGGAGGTTGACAGAGAGAAAGGAGGAATGGAAGGATTTTATTTTTTGTCTGATGTAGGAATGAGGATCAGCATAAGAGGGAAAATTAAGGAGAAGAAAGTAAATAGACTCTTGTCTCAGTTTCTGCATCAGAATTATGGCTAGAAGCCTTTAGTGCTCCTCTGAACTAACAGCAGTAAAATTCTCTGCTTTTTCCATAACTGAAAAAGTAGTGGATTGGGAAAAATCTTTGTATGTGGCAATCTGAGATCCCCTGCTTCTGCAGTAAATTACATAAAATTATTCTCTTGATGAATTAGTTTTGGCTGTAAAATTTATCTACAGGCTTTCTGACACTGCTGCATTTTAAATGCTTGGTATCCATTGAATTATTATAATAGTTGGTTTCTTTTGGAAATGACTCATTGCTCCATCAGATTGAAAGTTTTAAATTAAATATTGGAACTGGGCCACCCTATCAAACTACTACATTTAAAAGGTGTGTAGGAGGATCTGGAACTTCATTCAATTGCTGATATGACAATTTTCAGTCCTGATTGTTCATTTTTAATCAGTTTGGCCTTAGAGATTGCTTCTAATTGTAAGAATCTTCTAGAATGTGTTTGGTTTCTTCCAAAGCTATTTTTGCCTCTCCATCCCATTGTCTGGTGTCGGTGACATCATGACATCACCAGTATTCCCCCCTTCCCCAGTTAGCGTTTTTTTCATGCGTATGTGTGCAGGTACATCTGTGGGGTTTTCTTCTTAATACTCTGATCATCGCCTTGCTTCCTATCTTGTTTTACTGCAATTTTTGAAAAGCAGCTTTAAGAAATTGTCAGTTTTATTAAAGATTACCTGTGTCTCCTTGGCCTCATGCTATATATTCAAGTGATTTGACTTTTTCAAAGGTTGGAGTCTTTTTCACCTCGTTGCGTTCTCCAGGAGATGTGTATAATTTATCAGCATTATAAAATTTCCTATTTTAAACTTAAAACTACTGGTACCAAGTAAAATTTTGTCTGTGCAGCATCCCAGATAAGTCTGTTACCAAACACTGGGTATTGGTTTCATAGTCATGGAAACTGGGAGTTTCTGCAGAGGGAAACTAGTCACCAAGATTCAATACTAGTACCAAGCTAGCCCAGACCTGGGGAGCAGCCCAGTTCCAGTCAATCAGTCTCTTCCTCTGAACACAAGGGTTCTGCACTTGTTTTCAGATGGAAATCCCTGTCTTCAGTGCAGAGATGCACAGGCTTGCTTAGCCTGGTGCACAAGAAGCATGGATCAGCAAGTCCCTGTTGTGATGGCAGCTTTATCCAGTGTACTTTATTGATGTACTTACTGCTTTTGTTGGATGTTCTTTTTGTTAGAGCTCCTTTCTGGTAGGCAAGAGTGGATGTCTGGCCTGAAACCAGCCCTCCTTTGTCATCCATAGTTGCAGACTTGGCTTGCCAAGTCTGAATTGTGCTGTTTGTTTATTTTTCTGCCTTTCAGTGCTGGATTAGACATAGTGAGCAAGGTTTTTTGCATCCCAGAGGATCGCGGGTTTGGTTGTGGTTTTGGTTTTTTTTTTTTTTCTCTCAGAGAAGGGCAGTGATTCATTCAAACTCGTTGTTTAGATTGTTTCAAAGTTTTAGTGTTGCATTGATTTTTATCTCCATATGGTTTTCCTCAGTCCCCATAAGCACAATTTGTGCTGTTAGAAAGGGCCAGCTGTTAAAAGGTTCAACAAGCAGAAGTGCTCTGTCACTTATCTGGTCCCGTTGCAGAAGCTTTCTGCTACTAATTTTTAGATTTTCATCCCATATACAGTATATTCAAAAGAGGGCATAACTCTAGTGAGTAGAAGATGGGAAGACAAACCATTGTATACTGTTGAACTTAATCTGCTTTGGTTCAGTACAGCAGAAATGAGTTTCTGAAGTCTTTAATGTGATCAAGGGTAGGGTGAATGCAGTTTGTACCATTTCAAGAGGATGGCATGGGAAAAGGCCTATGTGTGAATAGGAGAGCAGTTCACAAACAAGGGTTGAGGCTGAAAGAATTGGCTAGCAAAGGGCAAATGAATGTTGGACAAGTGGAAGGCAGAATGATGAGCATTTCTGTGATGTTGCCAATAATCTTTTGTGCTCGTTAGAAGTCAGACAGGAAGGCAGTGGAGAAGACGTTTAATGGGGAGTTACAGGATCACAACAGCAGCTGGAGATCAGGATCAGCTACATAGCAGCATTCCAGCCCCCCAGGAAGTGAAAAGTCTTTGATTTCATTAATATCCTGTGATCTGTGGCTTTACTTTTTGAAGCAGTTTCATTTCTTCTCATGGTTGCTGGGTGGTTTGCCTGTTACAACTTGTAGGATCGTCACTTTTACTTTATTACGATGTGAATAAACACCTTTAATTCATGGACCTTTTATGGCATGCCATATGCATTGATCGAGTCTTTTTATCAAACATTATATGAGATCTTCACAAAACAAATAATACAAAGTTCTGCCAACAGAGTCTGTTCCAGTGGTTTAGTAGATTTCTCATAATTTCTGTGAATGCTAACAAAAGGTGACTTAATGACTTAAGCAGATTTGGTATAGGTGGGCTTTGGGAGTTCAAGAAATTTGTTGGATGTCCCTTATATTTCCAAGGCCTCTGGCAACCTCAGAATATCAAGACAACATTGATGAGGTTTAAAAGTACATTAATTCTGTCACTATGCTGAGAGGAACATATGAAAGTGTTGTTTACAGCATAAAACTAGCTATATTTTTGGGAATAGGTTTGTGATGAGCTTTTTCAACATAGTTATCCACTGTGAATTTGAGGATGGGGCCATCCCTCTGGATGGGATCTGGCATAATTAACAATTCTTGGGTTTTTTCACCCTCTGTATCCAGCAAGAGATCTAATAGTGCCGTTAGTGCAGTCAAGGACAGTAGTAGTACAGCATTTTACTTTTATCTTAGGTTGCAAATGCCATGAAGAACTCACTGCCCTTTGATGCTCCTGATGCATCGCAAGAAGGCCAGAAGGTACTGAAAGTAGAAGTTACTCCGACAGTGCCGAGGATTTCTCGGACTGCTATTACAACAGCTTCTATCCGTCGTCATCGCTGGAGGAGAGAAGGTGAGCTTTCTCTGCCAAGAGCAAATACTGTAGTGTACTGTATTCATCACATCACTGTAATCTGGCTTCTGAGTTTGAATGTTTGCAGAACAACTGGTTGGGGGGCTTTTTGTTTGTTTGTTTTTGAAAAGTGATACTTCATAACAACGTGTAGTATTTTACATCTTCAGAGCAATGCATGAACATTGAACATTTGGGCTGTTTGTTTTGTTTTTGATTTGGTGATAACCCATGAGGTAGGTGAGAAAATGGAGAAGCTGGAAAATGTTTAATAGGACTTCTTTTTTTCTCCATGTAACACAGCATAGAATTGTAGGGGTAGAGTTTGGCTTAGAATTTGAGTTCTTTCTTTAATCCACACTAAAACTCAACCGCCTCCCATCATAAATAGCTCAGGGAATGAATCGTATTATCCAGACTTTGATAGGTTTCCAGCTACCTAAAGCTACTGAAGGTAGTAGGAGAGAGAAAAGCTGAACATCGCACTCCTACCATCATATGGCCCAATTCAGAGAGGGGCCATGTCATAAAATAGCTTTGGATAGCTTAGAATTAGTCCTTATTTTTCTTCAGTGAGTACTTATGTGGAAATGTGCTTGACTATGAAGAAAAAGAATAAACATGTAGTAATATTTACCTTGATATGATGACATCTTCAGTGTAGGTGTAGCAAAAAGCTTGCTTTGATATCACTTTGTCATACTTACAAAGCTTTGTTGTTGCATGTATAAAATATTTTAAAAAGCTACATAAATGGCTGAAGGTAGAGAGTAGAATAACCTAAAAATAAACTGAGGGTAAAAAAGTCTGAAAACAAGGATTACATATTTTCCTATGGTACTCTTTTTCTGCATCATGTGCAAAAGGATTTGATGACCTCTGGTCTTCAGCTGAATCAGGATGTCCAGGACAAGTAGCTGTCTTCTGTTTTCAGGACTTTGGGTCGTGTTTGTCTTCACTGTAGTTGCCATTATATTCATTTGCTAGTCTCTGGTCTACAGTATAGCCCACCTGTCCCTTTCTGTGGATGTTCTTACAACTTTTAACTAAGCATGGGTAGTGTTTTGTGTTTGTTCTATGTCCGCATAAGTCTTCTATTTTCCCTGCCTGGGTTGGAATGCCAAGAAGAGAATAGAAAAGCACTAAAATGTTATATGTTGAATCCCAGATGGCTTTGACTTCTCAAACGAGGCTGACTCAAGCATACCTGGCTCACCGATCCAACACGGCTCCACAGACCTAGGGATCAAACGTGAGCAAGAGGGGGAGGTGCTGATGCGCAGGACCCCTGAGCATGGCTTCCCGGAGCCCACCTTGGCAGCAGCCACAACAGAGGGTAGGACAGAGATGAGGAGGCAGAAGTCAGTGAGGCAGTTGCTGGAGGAGGATCCTGGCTCCCTATCCCCAAGCAGAACTTCTTTCCATTCTAGTGTGTGTTTCCGCTATCCCAGGGTGTATTAGCTTCTCTTTGCAATACACGCATCCCCTATATACCTAACATCAGGTCAGGTACTACCTTTTGTTATCACGTGGGCTGGCCTGGGGCTTGCATCTGTGTGGTGAAAGACTGCTTGGCATGGCAAAAAAAAAAAAAAGACAGGGGTAATAGCCAAGAGCTTTGGGATTGCTTGGAAACTTTCTATTACTGAGCATGTTTAATCTAATACTCAGAAGGAAAATATGCACCAGATTAACACGAATCTAGTCCTGAAAATTAGGCAGTATAGAGTATAAATGGATTTGGCTACAGCTTAGTTACAATAAGCTCTTGTTACTCTGCAGTTTTTAAATTTCCAAGAATGAAGTTTCCGGTTCCCATTAAAAGTCAAGCCTATCTAAGACAGATGTACAACTGCTGATGTTTTTAGTTGCCAGTCATCCTTTAATTGAAAATTCATACACGTACAACTCATTTACAGGAATGAGCTAGCTGCTCTAAAGACAGTTACCAAAAAAGGACATGTGTTTTCAAGAAGAAATCAGGTTGTCATGTTTCTAAAAACTTTAGAAACAATTACTGCTTTCTTTTTTAGTCATGCTGTCCACACAAATGCTGTAGGACTTTGTAAGTCTGCTCTGCATCCAAGAATAGCAGATAGAGTAGTTGGTAGAAATTTATTTTGCTTAAGTTCATGTATTAATTTTCTCATCTTTACTCCATAAAAGACTTGGGTTTGAGTACTGATTTTGAATCATCGTTTCTCCTGAAAGATGAGAATTAATTTCTTGTAAATTTAGCTAAACATATTTTGAAGTGTTCTCCTATCTTAAGTCGTCTTTTCTATCCAAACATTCCTTTGGTATTTCCAGCCTCTATAAGCATATCAGCTGAACATAAATGAGATTTATTTGCACATTTTGATATGAGCTACGTAGATTTCAGATTTGTTCTTCTGGAAACAATAATCTGGAGAATTTGGAGATTTAATATAGTGTTATCACAGAATCCTTACCCTTAATCAGAGTTGCTGTCAAACAATAATTAAGACGTCATGCTTCTGTAGAAGATAGCGGCATAAAAATGTTTAGTGCGGGTTTATAATCTACTCCTTGGTGCATAGTGACTTTGAGCATGCTCAGTAAATGAGTCTGTATTCTCCTAAATCCACTTGTTCAGTTGGTCTTACTCCATTTTACTAAACTTTGCATGTGCATGACCTGAAGGATATGGAGAAGTCCTCAGCTGCAGAGAACCTTCTGGGAGAGACAGGAAGTGGGAAAGAAGTTGATAAAGATGTGGCCTTCTAGTCTTAATTTGTTTTAAGACATCTATACAGTTTGTCATGTTCTTGAATAAGGCATCATTCCACATGCTTTACTTCAGAATTCTGAAGTGGGTTGAATACCCTTCGCTTCTGTAACATTAGCAATGTATAATTACATGCTTGGGCGAACTGAATTCTGCCACTTGATAGCGTCTGGGAGAAGGCCAAGGAATGGAATTTGGTTTGATTATCAGTATAGAATTGTGTGTGTATATATATAGTGGTATATTATTTTACCAATGTTGATTTCACAGAAAGTTTCAGCTAGCAAATTTGCTCCCATAAATACCATTTTGATAACAAACAATATAATGAGAGACTGATAATTTCTAGTGACTTTTCAACCTTCAGGTATGGGAAGGATAAAAAGAATGAAAGTCACTTTAAAAAGCTGTATAAAACCCCTTCTTCAGATCAGTGTTTTGACCCAAAAAGTAGAAAAAGGCAGGAGATCTCAAGAATGACTCAGTGATGCCTTATAGGGTATTCTGGGTGGGAGCAGCTGTGGTTATATGCACTGTTTTGGGTCAGTGGAGAATACTGTATCTTCATCTACAGGAGTAATTATGTAGAAGCATAAATAACAAATTCTGGTAAGGAACAGTGAGACTTCTGAAAACACACTGTAGTGCAATTGATATAATTTCTGTCAGGTGGCACTGTCTCTCTTTTGGCCTTACAGTAGAGGAGTGCTTGGGAGGAGTAGGATTTTAGTTTTTGTTTTCTTTTTTAATTGTCCTATTGGTCTATTGGGGGGAAAAAAAAAGAAAACTGTATGACTTCATCCTGGTTTTCCCCCCAAACAGAGTATGTAAGGAGTCAAAACATTTTTTATTGTTTCTGAGGGCAGTTTTTAGAGGAAAAATAACATGTATTTGGAAGAGAATATGTGTTTGCTGAATTACTTCAATCCCACTGAGAACTTCTGTAGGTATATGGATCTGACTAGGCAGAAATTCTCTTGCATGTTGTCTTCTCTATCTTCTTCATTTCTGAGCACTGCTAAGCTGCTTGGGCCTCTGTATAGTTGCAGCATCCAAAAGCAACAACCCCTCTCAGTCTTGTCTTTAAATTCTGTGGATAAAATGCCACTTTTTCAGTATGACTCTTCTGCTTCACTGTCCCTGAATAGGAATGTCTGTTTTAGCATCCTGTTACTCAGCAATGTTTTAACATAAACTTTGAAGACAACTAATGTTCTTGTGTGATAATAAAAAGCTTAGCAGTATTGTCTGGACATACCTTCTTGCAAGTTACGTAGTTCGTTAGAGTAAGAAGGGCTTGAGAGGGGACTTCAGCTGCTGCTATTGCTGCTTGTAACCAAACACGCTTTTATCCAGCTTTGCATGATTATATAAAGAAACATAAATGTTGGTTTATTGAAAAAAGTGCTCTTGCTTTCAGTATGTTCCAGTTACGTCATATTTTTATTAGCATCTTTGTTTC